ATATACCATTCATTCCATTCCCTCTAATTGGGATCATCTGATTAAATAAAAAACTTTCAAAACAGTTCAGACTTTTAGATATAGACAAATATAAATAAAAATGAATCGGTATAAATAAAGAAAAATGAATTTATTTTAAAAGTTATAGAAAAAAAAGTAGTTTCGACATTTATTTTTTCATTCCTCAATTTTATTTCATTATGCTGAAAGGTGCTCACAAAAATTAATTTTCTCAAGGGGGAGGATGCAACTGATATACACTACATATGTATATAGCCTCCCGTTTGCTGAGTTACTATAATTTGACGTCATAGCAAACCCCGCCTCATTTTGTGTCACGTGAAGTTAGTTTCGTTTTGGGGTAATTTTAAGTTAAGTTTTCTTTAATATTCGGGTCAGTTTTTTAAATTCTGAATTGATTTTAGAGAGTTTTAAGATATAGACTAGTTAAAATAATCCACATTCTGCTATTACCCAACGCATGCAGGTTCATCATTCAGAAGTCTGCAAGCTTGCTAACTATGTAAGAAAAGATCATCTGTAAAAGTGCTTTTACTGCAAAGACACTTCTGCAGCAGTGAAAATAACTTATCTTTTTGTGTGATCTGCGATAACATTTCCCCATTTCAATGGGTGATAAGATTTTAAGTGAGCCCTAATAAAATATTTTACAAGGTTACTTATCATTCAAGTGTTATTGATAATTACTTAAGTGAATTATTTTTGCAAAAACTAACCGGTTATGACAAAAACATTCAATTGAAAGATTTTATCACATTCATAAAATGATATCAGATTAAAAAAATATCAAGTTTTGAGAATTTTTGTTTAGCTATTATGATTCCTGATATTTAGATAAGATTATTCATAAGTTTTGTCGGATGCATAATATCAGATGTAAACAAGAATTTTTTTATTTTTTAAAAAATTTCTTCAAGGGTAAATACCGCTGATCTCTATGATTTACCGGATTGCAACTTGTTACCATAGTAGCAATCCAGAAACCTGTATAGATTAGTGGTAAGAACTAAACGTTTGAGTTAGGTGTAATATCAATTCAAAATTTATGAAAATCCCAATTATATACCTACAACTGACGTCATCGGAAGTAAATCGTGGCATTTGTTGACTCAGAAGCCAATCAAGCTTGACCCACACGCTTGACGTCGTTATAGGTATCCAATTAAATCTAATTTAAATTACATGGTTAGGCAATGTCACTCCTATTCTTCTCGAGTTGCAAGTACTCGTAAGCAGTTGAAATTGACAATATTTTTATATTCAGGTAAGAAAAATGTTGGGCAATTTGACGTTTTTTTTCTTTCTTTGCTCTCGCGAGACGCATTAAATTATTACATACATTACTAAGTATATATTATTAAAAAAATTAGATGAATATGCATCTATGACTGAAATATCTAAATAGCAAAGAATGAAACTATAATTTCTAATTTTCCCTTTCGCAAGGAATCACCCTGCTTTTCATTTTTAATAATGCAAGGCAAATGTAACATTAAAACAAGAAGCATAACAAAATAACTTAAAATAAATACATTACATTTCATTAGAAAAGATTGTTTATACATTAAATTATTCGCAATTTTCCATAAACGAACTTTTTTTTCTTTTGTTTGCCATCATTATTATTTTTAATAATCTTTTCCTCTGAAATCTTCAACGTTGCGTTCGTGGTTCGATTAAAAGCGCCATTTTTATTTTGTATCCTAAGTTTAGTTGACCTTGAATGTCGAATAGCAACAGAGTTGGAAAGAATAAATTTTATTTTTAAAAAGATACTTTATGTCATAAAAAAAAAAAGAATTTGTAATAAACGAGAAGAATTTTTCGGAATTTCTTTTTGTTAGATCCGTGATTCTGTAAAATTCTGAAAACTAGATATTTTCTCCAACATTCGCAAATAATAAAAAAATTTCTGACAGATTAAACAATGATATATATGATTTACAAATCATTTTTACCCAATGTGTTCTTTTAAATAGAATTTCATCCGAAATATTCAGAGTGGTTTTTGCAAAGAACCGGATTTACTTAAATGAGTAATAAAAGAAAATGTTTCGAAATTAATAAAACGATTGTACGATTGAAATTTGTACGATTTTAATAAACGTTCAGTACCATTACATATCTATTTTTAAAGCATTCAAAAGCATTTTTCCTTTTAATTTTTTGCAAAACAATAAATAAATAAATTTAAACTTACTAAATAATTAAATAATGGGAGGTTAATCCTATAGGAAAATTTAAAGAATTCGACTATATAATCTCTTCAAACAGAAATGTAATAAATATTTTTGAAGGAATCGATTAGCCAAAATTGAGAGATATGTTTTTGGAAAAACATGAAAAATTTAAGGTTTTGTATGTGATCAATATTTTAAAGGTAGGTTGGCTGTAAAAGGAAAAGTTTAAATTTAGAAGAATAATTTTAATTGTATATTATTTTAAAATGCACTCTTTTAAGGTTTTCTGAAATTTAAAATAGGAAAAAAAGAAAAACGAATTTTGATAATGTTTGGTAGGTGTTTCTCTTTTTTATGTCAAATGAAAAAATTTGGACTTATCAGAGTCAATGAAAGCCAAATAACATTCATACAAATTCTTATAAAAAAAATTTAAAAAAACAAACAAACTTAATTTAGAAGGGTATTACTTCTATGTAGATGAATGTAAGCTGCAGATCAACATCCAAAAACATCAAATTGGAAGGGTGTTATGCTCCTTTGGCAACTCGACAAAAATTGATGTAATTTTTTGGAATATTCTACCCCATCTACCATATTCACCGGACATCCTGTACTAAGATTTCTGGCTATTTTGAGCATTACAAAATTATTTTAACAAGGAAAATTGCAGTTTTTTTATTCGAGATAAGAATTCTTGTAAAAAAAACAAAACAATTCTAACAAAGAGGTTTCAAAGAAACGGAATTTTTTCAGAGAGAAAAGAGCGGTACTTATATAAACTGTTACTTATTCGCAATCTTTAATATATATTTTAAGAATTCCTGTCTAAAAGTGATGTTGAAAAACCACACACAGATGTAATGTGAGTGTGTACACACTCACATTACAGGCGTGAACAGCCGACCCGATTTTGAGTTGATGACAATATCCATGTTCAATTCTGTAGCCTTATCATTTTGTATCAAGCCCAGAAGACAAGGGAACTCCTTCCTGGGTCAAGCAGCGGGACAATCTGGCCTCAGTGGAGGGCTTTTTTAATGGAACTAATCCGCATTTGTTTGTTGCGTTACATAGAGAGGAGAACCACTAAAACCTCCCATGGTTAGCCCGATGAAGGTAAGGGGATTCTAACCCATGATCCATCTGCTACTGAGGATATTTTAAGTCAGCACTGGAATTCATATCAACCAGTCTCAGCTCGGATTCGTACCTGAGTCACCTCAGTTGAAGGCAAGTGCTCTATCCTCTGAATCGACGCGGCTAAACGAATTACTATTGGGGAAAGCGGGTACACAGAGCATTGAAATTTCTTTAAGTGGAGGAAAAAGAGAATAATTGATGGGCGATTACTACAAACACTGCCAGGTTTCATCAGGCAAACTAGTTTTGATGCTTTGCCTCCCCCTTTTTTTTAATTCATTTTTGACCAGGATTCAAAAAATGTATGTTAAGGGTGATGATTATAGAACACGCTGCATACAAGCTTTTTGCTGAAATGCTGTGAAAGTAATAAAAAATTTAAATTGTATCAAATAATTCGCTTTTAAGTTTTTCTGTTTTCTCCAGCAATCAAACAGTTTTATGTTTTCAATTTCGCCTTCCTCAGTTGTGATTGATTAGATTTCGGTATGGTTTTTAATTTTTCGTCGCTTAAATAACATTTTGAGTCCTTTTTTGTGATAAGACATTTTTTCGTCAAAGATTTTGAAAGTTAGGTGTTTAGAACAGTTATTGGGGAATATTCTGTATAACTTAATAAATGTGGATCAAAATCTGAAAGCTTCCCGTTTTAATTTTCTTTTATAATCCGCAAGAACTTACCAATATAATAAAATTAGTGTTCAAGTTTTAAATAACTTTACTATTGCTGTATTGTACTACTGCTGCAAATTTGCAAATATTGTATAAAAGCAAAAGTATAAAACTGAAAATTAGAAAACAAACAATTGTGATAACGTGCTATTGATAGAAACGTAAGCTCGAATAATAATGTAATTTTTCTTAATTTGATTTAACCTGATTTTTAATGAAATAGAATACATCAGATTAATTTTCCGAGTTAAATTTTTTTCTCCCTTAATCGTGAGCTTATAAGTTGTGATATAAAATCTAATTTTAGCATCTTTTTGTAATAAATATAATTTTGGTATATTTCTCATGGAAAATGGTAAAGAGTTTTTATTTTTATAAACTAGCTAAATACTTATACTTTATTCACTCGTATATAAAATCCATAACTTAAAAAAATAATAATAATAATAATAAATAAAAATAAGAATTTTATTGCATACAAATAATTTTTTTTAATTTCTAAAATTGAACAGTATCACCTTAAGTATAATTATGAATTAAAATCTTAAAAGAGTTCAAAACATTTTTGATTTGTGAAGCTTTTAAATTGAATTCCTTTTCCGCTATAACCATATAAAGACGAAAAAATATTCATTGATACTGTTTTCAAATTTCTTTTTCATTTCTAAACTCAGCTTTATTTCTTTTGAATAAATTAATTTAACGCATATTTTTAAACAACAAGTTTTTAATTTTCTTAAAAAAAGATTACTTTATTATTATTTAATAATTAACCATAAAAGTTTTTTTTAATAAAAACTTAGAAATAAATATATGAAGTTTTTTTTATCTTCAGTGAGTTATTATCAATATTTTTGCGGCCATTAATCAGAAATTTTAAAAATTTCGATTAAAACTTTCGCCTCAAACGATGCCAATTTCCGCCAAAAAATTGCATTGGCTGCAGACGTTTCGATTAACGACGAACTAACGGAATCGACTTTTGAGACTCGACAAACTGAATGATATTTTTCACTATTTACGTACGAACATTTTCCACATTTTCTTGTGAAACTGTTGGCACAGGTTTTTAGATTCAATTAAAGAACAGCGAAGAGCCGGTGTATGTGTTGAATAGGATGTGCCAAGATGTTTGCCAAGATGTGAATTAACCGGAATTAACCTGAAGTATTGTTTACACAGTTGCTTTAAAAGTATCCTTCGCGTTATGAAATTTTAATCTGTGACAGTGGAGTGTGTAACGTTGATAATCAAATTCTTACTGGCCGGAACGATTCTTCGTCGGTAAGTAAACAAAACCCTATTTTTGCCTTTCGATGTGGGATAATTAATAAATTTTCTGCGTCATGCTTACTTTCTTGTTGCTATTTTTTTTTCTATATAAGTTTTATTAAAGAAACCTAATCGCTCATCTGGTCTTCGAATTTAAAAATTCAGTTAAGGTTTTCATATAAATTAGTTTTTCAGCTCATTCTTATTATAGTTTTGATACGATTTTGAATAAAATATAATTTAGCAAAAAGTTATTAAAGAGGTCATTGAAAGGAAGTGCGGACATTTCTTAATACTGGGGATGAGAAATATATTTTTAATATCATTTTTGGTGTAAATTTATTCATTTTTTAAATTAAGATTATTGAACCTTTACATCCTTAGCAATTTAACTTAACATACAGGGGAGACACCCATGTAAGCAGAGAGATTGCTAGCATTTCTCCAAATAGTAACGATGTGTAACTTTTTTTTTTTGTAATGTAGTAAAAAAGAAACTAAAAGTTACTACGTTATAGCTTACAGAAACTAATTACACAAGAACAACTTTTTATGGATAAAATAGAAGATGGCAGAAGACATATGTACTGTTTTTAATTTTAAAATTTGATGTGTTTAATTTTTGTATGGAAAAAGAAATGAATCAATATTTAAATGTCAATCAATATTAAAATGATGTATCTACTTTCTCTTAATTTATATATATTTTTAAATTTTTCCTGATTTCACAATATTATCAAGTTTAAAATCAAATCAATATCTCCTTGTCATTCTTTTTATACAAATACTTTCCTGATATTGAAATAAATATTTGTTATTGTTTATAACTTAGTTTATTAGTTTAATTGTTTTAATCTTGTTTTGCATTGAAAACTTTTAAGTTAAATCAGACAAGTTTTCCAAAAAAAAGGAACAAAAATTAAGTTAAAAAGGAATAGCAAAAAATGTTTGCAACTGATATTTTTCCTGATTTTTTTTGTGGGAGCACTGCTTTAAAAACTGAAGGAAATAATTGCTCTTGTCATTTCTTAATATGTATTAATTTTTAGCAAAATAATTCTTCTCTGTAGTAATTCTTTTTTTTTTTTTTTTAAGTAGTATATTCTTTAAAAGTAGTAGGAATAAAAATTGCCTGAATGAAAAAGAAAAACTCACAAATCTTTTTTATTTTATCTTTAATTTGCATTACATGTAGATAGATTTAAAGAAGCAATCTCCTCTTCGTTATCCAATGATGAAATAATATTGAATGTTTAAACTGAGTTGAAAATAGCTAATATTATTGTTTTTATAAAAAAGATATTTTATGTGTATACGTATGTGCTGGCCATATATTTCCGAATGTAGGTTGAGAATTTGCAGAAAATTTCCAAATGCTAATAGTTGGGGGTCAGCTTATAATGGGATCCACTAACTTTGTAAAATTTCATTATAAGAGCATCAATAGAAATACTTCTTTTGTCGAACATTAACAGTTATCAGTAAATATCGTAAAATGTGCGTACAAAACGTAAGAAAAGAATATATGAAATAATAGGTGAAAGCAGAAAATCTAATTTTAAAAATTGAATTATGAAAAAGAAGCAAGAGAACAATTTGAAAGGAATACTATTGTTTAACTCACTACTATAAAACCCTTATGATTAGAGAAGGGATGCATTTTTTCCATAGCCTTGCATGCCTTATTGTTTTACTTTGGCTTACATGCACAAGTTTTGAATTTTGGGTGAAATTCTAAATAAAAAGTGTGGTCTTTGGCTTATACATGCATGGGCTTTTATTCGGAAATATGCGATATTACATAATGATGATTTGAAATTTTTTTACCTCATTTGCACTCTTGTAAAATTCTTTTGAAATACGTACTTCATCCATTTAAAACTTGCCTATAAACGTCCTTATAAACAAATTAATGTGTAAATTTCTATATTACAGTTTCATTATGACTTTGGAGCCGAAAACTACCGTAGAACCCTTAGTCACATTTGGAGTCTTAACTGATGTTCAATATGCAGATTGTGAAGACCGACCTGCACCTCACGATTCTTCCAAGACTCGATTTTACCGCAAAGCTTTGGATCAAGTAGATGCTGCATTCAAATCTTGGAAAGAATCTCATAAAGTAAAGTTTGTGCTTCAACTTGGTGATATAATTGATGGATTAAACCGTAAATTGGGGGGATCATACTCCAGTCTGCGAGATACTCTAGAACATTTTGAGTATCATGCCTCTATACCTACTTTTCATTCAGTTGGTAACCACGAATTATATAATTTCAACCGTAATGAACTTGCTCTGCTGTTCTATGAATCTGTTAAAAAACTTGATATTCCAGTTGAAGTGTTTTGCCCTTTGAATCCTGCTGAACACCACACTCCTGTATTGTATTATAAATTTTGCCCTGTACCAAATTTAAAATTCATTTCTTTGGACTGTTTTGATGTTAGTGTTCTAGGCTATGATGTCGATCATCCTAACTATCAAATGGCAGCTAAGATCTTGAGTTCCAAGCACGGTCATAATGTCTTCGAGGATTGGGACTGTGATGGTGATTTAAAAGGGTTAGATGTTCGATTTCAGCAGATGAATGGAGCAGTTGGAGAGGATCAGAAAGCCTGGTTGAACAATGAACTTCGTGAATCAGATGAACTTGGGCAGAGAGTTATCGTCTTTGGTATTTAATGTTCTTTTTTTCCTTTGTGTACTAATGTTAATGTAATTTAATAAACATTTTATCAGGGTGCGTAGGGTTTTTAAAAAGTGCTTAATTTTCCCTTTTTCAAAATGAGATTCTTCCTTTACTATGTTGATTTTCTCTTCGAATTATGCAAAAAGACACAGTTCACATTGTTCTATTCAAAGTTTTTGCAATTAATTTAACCCCAATCTATTTCAGCGCGTTGTCAGTCCGTAGCGTATGATAACGCCATTCGTTTCACATGATTCAAAATTTCATAATTTTTGACAATTTTCAAAAACAAATCCAAAAATTTTTTTTTGACTTGACGGTTAAAACAAAATAAAACCGTTAATTGTCAAAAACTCTCCAACCCTGCCTAATTATAACATTTTCTTTCAAGTGCTTAAAAATATCTTTTAAAAGGTGCTTATTTTTTGTTGAATAATTTGGCTACACACCCTGTTTATGTATGCTTTCATGAATTTAAAAAAAAGACCTAAAATGTATGAATTCAGTTTGTGTTAAAAATGTGGCAAAATCTATATCGATAAAAATAGATTTAATATTGCATCACAATTTTAATAAATAATACTGTAAATTTGCATAGAAGTAAGGAAAGTTAAATTTAAAAATAGGGTGAAATGTATGCAAATAAATATAAAATTGCTTATGTTTACTTATGCAATTAAAATTTTACAATAAGTATCTTAAGAATTTTTCAAGGTTATTTAATTGAACATTAAATTTTAATTAATGTATTTATACTCTATAAACCGGGCTCATCCGGCTCTAAAAACTATTAATTTGAGAAACAATTCTATTTTTTAATAGAGATTAGATTAACAATTTAAACAAAAGAATAGAGATATTTATTCTTAATGTTTTAGAAGTGTAACTCTTTTTCTTCATTTCTATGAGTGTGTTAGGATCATTCTGATCAGGGTTTCAAAAAACCCTGGTATTTTAGAAAAAAACCCAACCCGCCTGGGTTTTATTGAAAAGACCTGGGGGAAATTGGTTTTTATTTGAAAAAACCCGGGGGAAATTGGTTTTTTTCAATTAATGCTCATAAACTTTTACTGTGTAAATATTTTTATTTAATAAAAAGAGTTGTATAAGCTTAAAAATAGAAATAAATCCAAAAAGTTATTTTAATTTTGTTATATGTATTTTATATTAAGTTTAAATAACGCATTATCACTAATACATATGTGAATCTTTATTAAGTACATAACGTTTCATAATTTTTAACTCAAGCATTATAAAACATAAATGCAGTAATATAAAAGGAACAAGTTTATTAATCTTTTGTTTTCACACACATTTATTTACTATATTTATTAAACTTATTACCTATTATAAAATTATAATCAGTAAAGATTAAAATTTCATCTGACTTTTGACTTTAATAAAGACTGAAATAAATATTTAATGGTCTTCCATGCTTTTATAATAAGATTAAGATAAAGTGAAATTGAAATTATGTATAATTATAACGAATATATCCACGAATCTTTGCTCTATAAGGGATCAAAGAGCCGCTATTTTTTCTATATTGACACGATATAGAATTGTCAGATTTTTACAGTCACTTTACAACCTATATCGCCATGTATAGAATTGTCATATTCACCCGAGTATAAGTTACTTGTCTCATTTTTTTTCTCTTCAAATAATTAACCCTAGGAAAATGAGTTCATTTTTAGATGAATAATTTTAAACAGTTCTCTTATAAAAGTTTTAGCTTATTTTTTTTAAAGCCAGAAAATTAAACTGTTTATATGTGTTAATGTATCACTTAGTAGGAAAAAAAAATTGTTTCTTTTCAATTTTTTTAAGCATATGAATTAATATTAATATTTAAAGCATGCAACTATATTTGAAAAATTAATCCTTTCAGACTATATTATTTAAATTTCTATTTGAATTGTAATTTCATTAAAATATTACTTTTTGAAAAAATCCAATTAAAGTTTTCATTAGTATTATGAAATTATAGATTCGAGTTTCTTTTACTTTACAAATACAGTAGGGAACCGATTATCCGGAACGATCGGGACCATCGCTATTCCGGATAATTGATTTTTCCGGTTTTCTGAATCGCTACAAAAAGCCGTTTTTTTTAATTATTAAACCCAACTAAAAAAAAAAAATACAAGGAAATAATCTTAAAAAGAAGAAAAAACGATGAAGTAATACAGTAATGATTATTTCTAAAATGATGGTATGGTAAACATCTTTCAAAAAAGAAAGAAAAATCCTAAAATCTTATGAGGAAAAAAA